TTTAACAGAGTCTAAAATCAGAGGCACTTGGTATGTGTAATGGAGTCCTTGTATGGTGTCTTAGGATAAGCACTGGACCGGACCGCAAGGTCGATCTGAACCGTAAGGTTGGTTGTTTAAACTCACCAGCTGCTCCTCAGAAACCCTATACAGGGTAGCTATGAGTTAGAACCAACTCAATGGCATTTTAACAGTAACATAAGCAAGGCCTTAACTCCATTTTAAAGTCTTGACATGAGTCTAGAATCTATGTTGAATTTTAAAGTTGCCTTTTCTAACAGTATTTCTGCTAACCTTGATGTTGACCTCAGTAAAGGAGACATTCTTTTTTACCTGAGGTCAGGCAAGGTGTCGAATATCACAATCTATTCCTAAAAGGTCTTTCCACTGTGGTCAAATTTATGCAAGATGTGATAGTTTATACCCAAAGATTTTATTTGCAAGTCACCAGAAAAAACCTGCCCCGCCATTATCCTGTGAGCATCTTGTAATAAACTAATAACGTAATCCAGATTTAAATGTTATCCACCTATGATTCCTGTTAAGTGCCCTCTATAGGTTCTCAATCATACTGACCCAGTATAGGGTTTCTGAGGAACAACTAGTGGGTTTGAACAACCAACCTTGAGCTTGTCCTACAATGCCATACCAAGACTCCCATTTAGACAGTAAGGAAAACAGAGTCAGTGGATTGGGTAAATTATATGTGGCAAATCAGAGGAAAATTGTAACGTAGATGTATTTGTTTAAGCTACAAAGGGTTCAGATTCTTAGATGACAAAACCAGTATAGGCTTTACTGGTTCTGCTGGCAAGAAAACTGTTTGGCTGTATCCTGTATGGCACAGTATGCCACTGGAAAATTGAGAGTGCTGGAGTGTCATTTGTAACATTAGTAATTATCAAAAATAGGCTTGGGAAAGAAAGAAGAATGTATCCTTGTTCTTTCTCTTTTGCTGAGACAGCTTTCCAGGATTTCTTTATTCTGGGAACCAATGCCGTTTTTCTAGTTACAAGTCAGAGTGGACATGACATCCAAGGCATTTAAATGGACTGATATCAATCTATGATATTAATTTGACCTAGAGTGAAAACACACATTCTGTAAAAGTAAAATTAAGAAATTTATTGAAAGTCCAGAGATGATTTAAACCTGGAAGGCGTCCAAATTCACAGAGTACAAATGACCAACCCAATAGACAATGAGGAAGAAAGTGTTCTTGTACAGTTGGAGCAGGAGCTAAAAGTTACAAAATCATATATGACTGACAGATAATCAGGAAAGTCAAAGGAGGAATATCTAAAATTGAGGTGTGGTGCTGTAAGATAAACACTGCACTGTTAACCTCAGGGCCAGCAGTTCAAAC